TATGTAAAAATATTTTTGAGGCTTGTTCTAGGTTGAAGTTAAGTTACTTGGGAAGAATTTGATCCTTTTGAGTCTTGCTTTTCAGATTTTTTCAGTAGGACCGGAACATTGTTCAAGTTAAGAACTAATTATTCCCCGCTACAGTGGCAAGGCCCTTCTGGGTACAGTACACCGTACCCCATAAATCATTAGATTTTCCAGTCTAGTTGGTGGCATCAAGCAACATTCCAAGCCCTGTGTTAGAGTTGGGAGCTGTAACCTTTAATTTTTAGGGATGGTTTTTTCCCCAGGCATGGATAGCTTCCTCATAGGTGTATGCTGATAAATGCTCAGCTGGGTACTTGAGAGGGACTCTCTGCAGATCTCCAGAGTTCTCTCTCTGGGAACCTCTCTCTTCTCCAGTACTCTGTTCTGCAAACTCTAGCTGCCTTGGTCTTCTTGGATTCTCTTCTCTGTCTTCTGAACCCAGGGAATCTTTCAGGTTCCACCTGGGTTTCCCCTCTTTGTGCCATGGCCTGGAAACTCTTACAAGAGAGTAATCTGAAGCAATTTTAAGGATCATCTCATTTGTTTCCTGTCTCTCTTGGGATCACTGCCAAGTGTTGCCTAATGTCTAATGTCTTGAAAATTATTATTTCATACAGTTTGTTGAAGTTCAGTTGTTTCATTCTGGAAGGTATATCCAGTCCCTGTTACTCCGTCTTGTCCAGAAGCAGAAATGTCACATATTCATTTAAAATCAACTAATTTATATAGTGCGGGCCCAAGCTGAGTAGTGGAAGTAGAAAGAGAGGGAGTAATGGACTGAAAAAAGTGCAGGTACCGTTTATTGACTATTCATTCATAACTTACTTATTGAGCATCTACCATGTGACAGGCACTGAGAAAAGATAGTAGCTTACACTAAGGTGTTAATGGTGGAGATAGTGAGAAGTGATTGGATGGATACAGGTTATGTTTTGAAGGTAGAGTCCACATGACTTGTATATGTAGAGTGTGGGGGTATGAAAGAAAGAGAAGAGTCAAGGTAGACTTTGAGGTTTTTGACTTGAATAACTGAGAGAATGACATTGCCTTTATTGAGATGCAGACAAGCATGGGAGGATAAGGTTTGGGGGGCAAGATCAAGAGCTCAGTTTTGGATATATTCAGCCTGAGATGCCTATTCAACATCCAAGTGGTAACATCAAGGAGGCAAACTGGAGTTCAGGGGAGAGGATAGGGTGATGTTATAAATTTGCAAGTCATCAGCATACAGATGTGTTTAAAGCCACAAGATTGGATGAGGAAATGAGGAAGAGAGAAAAGAGAAGGAATATATCCAAGGACTGAGTTCAGGACTCTCCAAACTTTAGAATTAGAAAATAGGAGGAGGCTTCTTCAGAGGACACTAAGAGGAAGTGACCATTGAGGCAGGTGGAGAATCAGAAGAGTGGAACTCATTATTTCAAGAAGGAGAGAGTGGATAAGCTGTGTCAAATGCTGGTGAGAAACAATAGATATGGACAGAGAAGTAACTCTGGGGATAAATTGTGTTTCTTGCTGTCTTCTCTTTTATTCTGGGAGCGACACTGAGGTCAGAGACTCTGCCAGACTCATCTCTCTAACCTCAGCACTTAGCACAGACCTGGTGCACAAGTGCCTTGGGAATATGCATGAATAGATGCGTGAATAAAAGAGCACTGGGCAGCTCCTGGAAGTTAGTAGCCCTGGCTTCTAGTCTTGGCTGTATGGCTAACTTGTCCCTTCTGTCCCTGGTCTTAGCATCTCTAAAGGAATTATCCTCAGAATGCTTTCGACTAGATCGAAGAGACTACTTGGACCAGGCTGGTTTTTCTATAAAAGTCTTGGGCTGGTTGTTGAATTTGTGAATGAGGAGAAAAGAGGCCCCAAAATACACCATGATCGATGTTGGGATTTTTACTGAATCATTGCACCTTACTCTTGGTTTGAAAGTCTCCCTCCTTAAGGATCCCACTCTCCATCTAGGACCCCTGCTCATCTCTCTGCTCCTTGCCAACAACATCGTCTGCTGTCTTCCTCACCCAGCCTGGTCCTTCCCTCACACTTGTTTGGTTTCCCTTGGGCTTCCCTGAAGCAGCTACTGCAAACTGTCTGATCTCCTCCAACTTCTGCATCTACTGCTGCCTGACGCCTCTGAAGATGAAACCCTCTCTCATTTCACTGAGAATGCTGGAGTTTTGCCTGAGTGAGCCCCTTCAAGAGTCTCTCACTGTTCCCTTACACCCATCTAAAATGTCTAGCACCTTTTCTCTTCCTGGCCCTTTCATCAAAACCACTCTCCCACCATGTTCTTGATAATTCTTCCCTCACCTCCTCTGGTACATAGACCCACCCATTATATCCATCTTTCATGACCTCCAGTCTTAACTGGAGTTGGTCACAAGCACAGATACTTTTATTATCTGTTGAATCCTTCCTCAAAACCTTTACACTTGTTTTATTATCTCCTTTCTGTAAAGTAACAATAGCACCACAGAGAATCTTTTGCAATCCCACATTCTCCAGTTCCCATTCTATCTCTTTCCTTTCTTTCTCAGTCCAGCTTCTAGAAAGAGTTAGCTACATTCTCTATCTCTTGTTCCTTGCCTCCTACTACTCACTCCAAAACCTTGCAAAACATGCCCTCTTTTGCCATCACTCCCTAAGGCTGCTCTTGATAAGCTAGCCAGCGAAGCCCCTATTTTTTTGGTGCAAGGCCCCTCCAGCTCTCATCTCAGAGGGAAGAAGGCTCAGGCTCTACAGGCAGCCCTGATCTTACTGATATGGGGGCAGGACATCAGCCCTGCAGACTCCTCCCTTCCTGAGACTCTCCCTTCCCTGCGGCCTGTCCTCTTCAATCTCCTCTACTTGGTTAGCTCCTTGGGCCATCTGTCACCTTTGCAGCTCCCCAGAACTCTCCCCTCAGCCTCCTTCTCTGCTCTCATGCTATGGGGGGTGCTCTTTCCCTCTGAGAGCTTTAACTCCCACCAAATCCTGATGATGTCCATGTTTCCCCTCCAGTCCAGACTCCAATAAGTGCTGGGCCAGTTGAGTCTGCTACAGCAGGCCTGGAGAGTGACAGTGAAGGCTCGTGACCAGGCCAGGGCCTTGGGGATAGAGTGCAGTGGATGGAAACATCTTTGACACTTTTGGGGGACAGTTGACTGAGGACAGAGGCTGCTTGGATGTGATGATTAAAGGAAACAAGGACTTATGGTTGACATCCAGGTTTCTGGCTTGGGTAACTGGGTAGAGCGAGGCCCCTCTATGAAGTGGGTAAATTGGAGGAGCTGATTTGTAGGTAAAAGTGTCAAGTTCGGTTTTAGCTATGTTGAGTTTGAGGTGCCTCAAAGGAGAAGATGACCAGCAGGCAGCTGGAGATATGGGTGGGAAGCTTGGGAAAGACACCTGGGTTGGGGTCTTGATTTTGGACATGATGGCAACTGAAGCCTTGGGACTAGATGAAGTTTCTCAGAGAGAGTGTGCAGATGAGGGTCACTGACCTAGCTACCTGCCAGGGCAGGAGATAGCTGCCTGCCCTTGTTCCATGGCAAGTGACCTGAGGAGGTGGTTCTAATGAAGGTGAGTGTGTGTTGCAGAGCAGCTACCCCACCGCTGGGCAGCCAGACTGAGGGAGGGGCCTATTCTTGGCAGAGAAAGAGCAAGGATCATGGGAGAGGAATCCGTCTTGGTGCCGGAACCTTAGAGAAGGCATAAATGTTGTCATGTGCTCCCAGAGCTGTCCCTCTTGCGTGCTATTGGGGATGATCAGTAAGGAGAGGAGGGGTCCAAAGGGTGGCAGGCAGGGCCTGCACTGGCTCTCTATCAGTGACAGGCTGTTCCAAGTCCTCTGCCTGGTGTTTGCAGCCTCTGTGGGCTGGCCTTGGCTCCTCCACCCTATTCCTTTAAGCACAGCCCATCTCCACTCTGGGTCCAGCCACCCCGCACCAGCGTCCCCTCCATCCCTGCAATGGATAGTCTTTACTGCCCCTCCTCTATCCCTGTGATTCATTCACTGAACACTGCTCTACTGAGGCTCACTCTGGGCTGTGTTACAGTCCCTCCTAATTTCCAGGCTTCCAGGAGGCCAGCGCTGAAACTGATCAGTGCGAGTGGCCCCAACTTTGTTTGCTTTGCCTAGAACTTTCTATCTCCATGGTCTGCTGCCTCTAGGGTCTAAGCAGAGACTCGAGGATGCTGGTTCCTCTCCCTCAGGTGCCCTCATTAGCATCCTGGCACTGTAGTCCCACAGAGAGCGCCAAACGAGCAGCTCTGAGGCTGCTTGTTATTACCACTCACCACAGAGCTTGACGTGCCTGCCATCGCCATGGTGACAGCTTAAGAAGCTGGAACAAGCTGGAGGGAGGGGTGCCACAGGAAATGTGGAGGGTGTGCTGACCATTTCTGACCAAATCTTGTAGAGTGTTCTAACCAGCCTCAGCAAGGAAGAATTGCCCCAGCCTCCCTGACCCCATTGCAAGAGACACTGTGGAACACAATCTCCTGTCTCTCTTCTGGATTTTTCCCTCAGGCTGCTCCTTCTCAGTCTACTTTGTGGACACCTCTTCCCCTACTCAACTTTCAAATGTTGCAGTTCTCCAGGGCTCTGCCTTGAACCCTCACTCTGTATCCTCTTCTTGTGCGATCCACTCCACATGCTTTCCCTCACTCCCCACACCCATCCATCTCCAGGTCCTGTCCATCCTCCCTCCTAAACGGTTCTCCACTGTGCACACTTGACTTGGGCTCCATAGGCACTGTCTTCTCCAGCTTTCTCCCTACCACCATGCTGCCACTCTTGCTCCCCCTCTAATCCAGTGCCGACCTAGCAGCCAGAGGGATCTTTCTAGAATATAATGCTGTCTTTGTCATGCTCCTGTTCAGCCCTTCCAAGGCTCCCCATAGCCTAGAGGAGAGTCCTGACTTGGACCAGTGCCTGTGGAGCCCGTGGGAGCTCTCCCTTCTCTCCTCCTCACTCCCTAGCCCATCCACGAGGCTACTCTTTGTTCCTCAGCTTAAGTGACATTATTTGGGGTGTGCTGAAGATAATGTGATTGGAGCTGAAAGGAAGGAACCCCAGAGGTAGTGCCCATGTTTGAAGAAGTCAATGAGACATGAGACTCCCATCTGCAGAGCATGAGCTCTGAGGTGGTCTCAGGTAAGGAGAATCAGAGAGCTGGGGATGTGGGCGGCAGCTGCTTTCTGCCAAGGAGATACATCTCCTCCCACGGGGCAGGAGTTTGAGGACGGTGGCTGGTTTGTCGGAGCTCAACAGCCTAAACATGTGCCAAACATCTGCAAAGCAAGGGCACCAGAAGATGGCTTAAACAGTTTTTTGTTTGTTTTGTTTTGTTTTAGCTTTGGTAGTTCATATGTCAAAAACTTCACTGGGGTAAAAGAAAAAGAAACACATCTTGCAATTTAGCACTGTTTGCCTTTTAAATTTCTTATCAGGTGGGGACAGCACCATCATTTTCTTGGTGCTTGGAGCCTGGCACTTAGACAATGTTGGGTCCCCCTGCCCTGCACTGCCATAGCAGTAGCCAGGGGTGCTGGAGTTTGCCAGGTGGGCCCTGGTTCTGTTCTCACTGCTCACCTGCAGCTCTCCTGCCTTATATGGGTGCCAGGGTCCTCTGTGACCTTCCTCTTGGTCTTCTCCCTGGCAGGTGAGGATCCTGGTCGTACATGGAGGATGACAGAAAAATCCAATGGTGTGAAGAGCTCCCCAGCCAATAACCACAACCATCATGCACCTCCTACCATCAAGGCCAATGGCAAAGATGACCGCAGGACCAGCAATAGGTGAATCTGCTGAGGCTGGGTCATTTCAGAAATGGCCTGGAGGTTGCTACTTCCTCCCAGCTCTGCCTCATTGTCACAGAGCAAATAATCTTCGGCTCAAGGACACCCTCTAAAGGGACCGTGGGATTTCCAGGCCTCTCCCAGGAGGTGAGAGTGCTGATAAGAGAAAAAGTATGCCCAGAGAATCCTTAGTCAACTCTGCCCCTCCCTCTGCAGGCCACAGTCTGCAGCTGATGATGACACTTCCTCAGAACTGCAGAGGCTGGCCGAGATGGATGCCCCCCAGCGGGGGAGAGGTGGCTTCCGCAGGTGGGTTCCACTACTACCCTGCTACTACCCCTCCCACTCATGGGGCCTGTCAGAGTGGCTACCATGGCTCTCCTCCTCCTGGTCTCACTGGGCCTTTCCACCAAGTCCCCTGGGAAGCACTGTCAGTGCTGTCCAACTCTTTCCTCTTAAGGAGGCTCCTGTGAGCAAGGTCAGAGGGCCTGTGGAGGCTTCCCTTCTGACTTGTCTGTCTCAGCATTGGGGGGAGGGGTCCTTCCCAGCAGAGGTACCTAGGCAGAGGGCCCTGAGGTCTCCAGTCCAGAGTTGTAGGCTCCATTGGAAAATCAGGAAGCCTGGGCTAACTTTTCTCCTGGCCTGTCCTCCCTTAGCACAACCTCCACCTTGCCTTGGAGACCTCCTGTTTGTTCTTCACAATCAACTGAGATGGCACCTCCTACAGGAAGTCTTCCCAGCGCAACCCCTTCCCCTCAGGCTGTGTTTAGAGGCACGCCTGAGCCCCAACCCGCTGCCTCAGCACTGGTCCCTATCCCAGCTCTTAGCAGGGGGGACATCTTGGCCTGGCCTGCTTCCAGGATTCCCTCTCTGTCTCCCATCTCCCTCCTCAGACAGTGAGCTCTCAGGCGCAGTTCTCTTCTCTGGCTCATGCTCCCTTTCTCACCTCTAGGATCGCCCACCTGGTGGGAGTCATCAGAGAGTGGGCCAACAAGAATTTCCGCGAGGAGGAACCCAGACCTGACTCGTTCCTTGAGCGTTTCCGTGGGCCTGAGCTCCAGACCGTGACAACACAGCAAGGGGATGGCAAAGGCAACAAGGACGGCGGGGGCAAGGGCACCAAGTATAGCTATCCAGCCTGTGGGGCTCCAAGGGCTCCCAAGCATGCAATCGGGGGGCTCAGTGGGGTTTCTTAGGCCACACCCAGGGGCAGACCAAGATCTACATGAAGCAGGGAAAAGGGTGGGCAGGGGAGAACTGCTATGGTTTTAACTCTAGAACGTTTCCATCATGCCCACCCTCAGCCTTTCCAACAGCTAGTGGCTCACTTACCATGGGACCCCCTGGTGGTTTTTCTCACCTTAGCTGCCTTTATGAGATGTCCTCTTGCTGATGTGCCAGCCCCAGGCCCAGGTCCAGCAGGCAATAAATGCAGAAGAGAGTGCAGTTAGGGAGTGCTGTTGAGGGTAGGCCCATGCCAGCATCCATGTTGGCACAGAGCTGGGTCTTCGAAGAGGCCGTGCTGGAGGCTGGCTGGTGGGGAAGGCCCGGGGACAACTGAGCAAGAGGAAGTAAGAGCAGAGAAGGCAGAGCTGGAGGGTCCATTCTTCGAAGAATGAATAGGCAACTGCGGATGTCTGGCCAAGCTGACATTCCCCACCTCTGGCCAGTAGAGGAAAAGAGCTCTTGCCAAGGCAGGACATAGCATCTGGGAAAGTGATTCGGGGGCTGGAGGCTAGGGACCAAACAGGGAAAGTAGGGTGGGCAGGAAGCACACTGCGCTCGCTTGTTTAGAGTGCCTCTCTCTTCCTGGGACGGATATGGGAACAGGCCCTGAACCCTCATTACCAACCTGTGGAAATCTCTCCCCAGGCCCTGAGGCCCCTCCCAGTGAAAGCACTGTCCTTTGCCATGCCCTCTGGGCAAGAAGCCTCCAGAGGGGATGGGAGCTAATCGGCCTATGTGGGGTCAAGATAGGAAGAGGGGTCTCTTACCCATCTGAGCTCTATTCAGATGCCCAGTACCAGGTTGCAGCTCCCTGAAAATGGGACCCTAAGCCAATCCACACATCCCCTTAGGCATTGTTTTTTCAGGGACCCTTGGCCTCTGGGAGCTGGGGTGCTGCCACACTGCGGACCTGGTCCCTGAGCCTGGTCTCTATCTTTCTCCTCAGGAAGAAATTTGAGCTATTTGTCTTGGACCCAGCTGGGGACTGGTACTACCGCTGGCTATTTGTCATTGCCATGCCTGTCCTCTACAACTGGTGCCTGCTTGTGGCCAGGTGAGTGGGGGAGGGGGTCCGGGAGGGGATGCCAAAGCAGCCCACTCCACAGGCCCTGGGATCGAGAGCACAACAGTGCCAGCTGTGGACACAGACCTCGTGCCAATCTAGACTTTTTTCTGTATTTTCTGCTGGCCAATGACACCTCCCTCTGCCCTATTAACCCCCAACTACCCCACCCCAATTTATCATGCTGCCAAAGCTTCATGTCTGTGGTTTTCCTGGTGTCTGTAATCTGTTCTTACTTCTCAATCTACACCAATCCTGTCCTAGATGAGGCCACCCTTTTCTTTCCCTGGAACTACAACAGCCCTGCACCTATTCCTTGCAGGCACTCTTGTCCCCTCCAATGCATCCTCCACACTTGTAACTAGCATGGTTGGTAGAAGGTGGGATTTGATTATGTCGCTCCCTCCTCACAAGTCCTTCAACGGCCCCCCCATTCAAGTCCTCAGTGCAGCCTTCAAGGCCCTCTGTACCTGGCCTTCTCTCTAGCTCCAACTTCTGGATACACCCTGACCCCAGGATTCACTACTCGCGGATCGTAACACACTGTTTCCTCAAGAGAAAATTCTCTTTCCCTATTTTCAACCTATGGAGATTCTTCTTGCAGTCTCAGTTCCAAAGCCACCTTCTACGTGTAGCTTTCCCTGACAGCATTTCCCACCCTGTCCCATTCCCCATCTCAGTCATTCATTCAGGAAGGATTTGACTAACCATCTATTGGGTGCTAAGCTCTGTGCTCAGTGCTTGACAGTAAACCTGAACAAAACAAATGTCCAAGATGATTCCAGGGCCTGGAGGCAGGGAACTACGAGAGAAAGAGCAGTCAAGGTAGATCTCTCTGAGGAGGGATACCTTACCTGAGACCTGAGCAGCGAGAGGAAATCAGCTATTTAGATGCCTGAGGTTGGTGGAGGGAACATTCCAGGAAGAAGGAACAAGACGCGCAAAGACCCTGTCTCAGGATGGCCTGTTGTGGCTGGAGGCCTATGAGTGAAGCAGCAGGAACGTAGACAGGCCAGTTATGCAGGCTTTGTGTGCCAGGAGAGGGAGCTGGGGTTTCATCCTAAACGTGACCAAGTAGTCAGTATTAACTGCTCCTCTCTTTGATTAGTACACTCACTAGGTCGTCATTCCTGGCTTCTGTCCCCTACTCTGCCATCTCCCTAGGCCGCTACTCATTCAGTCACCAAGTTTTGTCAATTCCTCCTAAAGCTGTCCTGCAGCCTCCAACCTCTCTCCATTCTCGCTGCCTCTAGCCTTGGCCCAGCTCTGCCCTCTCTTTCACTTGTATTGGCCAGTGCTCCGTGTTAGATTCTCAATAGGCACATGTTGAAGAGATGAGCATGGAGGCTATTCAGCTGTGTATTGTAGTTCGTTCTTCCAAAGAGTCATTTTTCATTCAACTCACACCTGTTGAGCACTCAAATCCTGATGCTCTGGACTAGGACATGGGACATGCAGTAATGATTAAGAGTTGGTCTCTGTCTTGTTGGAGCTCACAGTACGGCAAATGAGACAGACAATTGGTCAGTGGCGATGTCTATGCAGTGATTTCTATGTAATAATAAGAGCTGCAGTGAAGTTGCTTGTCAATAAGCGTCTCCCTGGCACCAGGCTGACTGTGACTCATCAGTGCCCCTGGTAGCCATCCCAGGCACCACACAAAGTGGGCATTCAGTTTGGGGTCTCCAGGGGGCCTTGGCTGACTTTGAAGGTGAAGCCCAGCCCTGTCTTCTTGCAGAGCCTGCTTCAGTGACCTACAGAAAGGCTACTACCTAGTGTGGCTGGTGCTGGACTACTTCTCAGATGTGGTCTACATTGCAGACCTCTTTATCCGATTGCGTACCGGTAAGTGAGTAACTGGGATACACAGGCAGGAGCGTGACTCATATGTCCAAAGGCCTGAGTTCAAATTTTCAGGAAGCCTTCTCAACACTGTGTTAGACTCAACAGCCTGGCTTGGGTTCAGTTTGTTGCCTGCTCCTCTTTGAACCTCGTGGTCCCCATATGCTTAGTGAGGTTGAGACCTGGGGATGATCTCTTAGGGTCCTTCCAGTCAGACTAGCTACATGAGTTTCCTACACCCCTCCTTGGGAAGAACAGTTGAGTGAGCAGTTTGTCCCTTGCTGAGTATTAGCTTACCGGGAGGGACAGGCCTGGGGGCAGAGATGATATGCTGGCTTGCATCTCTACTAGGTTTTCTGGAGCAGGGGCTGCTGGTCAAAGATACCAAGAAGTTGCGGGACAGCTACATCCACACCCTGCAGTTCAAGCTGGATGTGGCTTCTATCATCCCCACGGACCTGATCTATTTTGCTGTGGGCATCCACAGCCCTGAGCTGCGCTTCAATCGGCTGCTACACTTTGCCCGCATGTTTGAATTCTTTGACCGCACTGAGACCCGCACCAGCTATCCCAATATCTTCCGCATCAGCAACCTAGTTCTCTACATCTTGGTCATCATCCACTGGAATGCCTGCATCTACTACGCCATCTCCAAGTCCATTGGCTTTGGGGTCGACACCTGGGTTTATCCCAACATTACTGACCCTGAGTATGGCTACCTGGCTAGGGAATACATCTACTGCCTTTACTGGTCTACACTGACCCTCACCACCATTGGGGAGACACCACCCCCTGTAAAGGATGAGGAGTACTTATTTGTCATCTTTGACTTCCTGATCGGTGTCCTCATCTTTGCCACCATCGTTGGAAATGTGGGCTCCATGATCTCCAACATGAATGCCACCCGGGCTGAATTCCAGGCCAAGATCGATGCTGTCAAACATTACATGCAGTTCCGCAAGGTCAGCAAGGAGATGGAAGCCAAGGTCATTAGGTGGTTTGACTACCTGTGGACCAATAAAAAGAGTGTGGATGAGCGGGAAGTTCTCAAGAACCTGCCAGCCAAGCTGAGAGCTGAGATAGCCATTAATGTCCACTTGTCCACACTCAAGAAAGTGCGCATCTTCCAGGATTGTGAGGCTGGCCTGCTGGTGGAGCTAGTGTTGAAGCTCCGTCCTCAGGTCTTCAGCCCTGGGGATTACATTTGCCGCAAGGGAGATATTGGCAAGGAGATGTACATAATCAAGGAGGGCAAGTTGGCAGTGGTGGCTGATGATGGTGTCACTCAGTATGCCCTGCTGTCAGCTGGGAGTTGCTTTGGAGAGATCAGTATCCTTAACATTAAGGGCAGCAAAATGGGCAATCGACGCACAGCCAATATCCGCAGTCTTGGTTACTCAGATCTCTTTTGCTTGTCTAAGGATGATCTTATGGAAGCTGTGACTGAGTACCCTGATGCCAAGAAGGTCTTGGAGGAGAGGGGCCGGGAGATCTTGATGAAGGAGGGACTGCTGGATGAGAATGAGGTGGCAGCCAGCATGGAGGTGGACGTGCAGGAGAAGCTAGAACAGCTGGAGACCAACATGGAGACCTTGTACACTCGCTTTGGCCGCCTGCTGGCTGAGTACACAGGGGCCCAGCAGAAGCTCAAGCAGCGCATCACGGTTCTGGAAATCAAGGTGAAGCAGAACAACGAGGACGATTATCTGTCAGATGGAATAAACAGCCCTGAGCCAGCTGCTGCCGAGAAGCCATAAAGGCTTGGGCCCAACTGCCTCTCCAGGCTTGGCCTTGACCCTAGGAGTTAGAAGAGCTGTGTAGGTCTCCACATTTATACACATTACACTTATGTCCCCTTGAAGTCCCCCCAAAGCCTCTCTGTCCCCAGACTTTTGGCTCAAGCATCCAGAAGCCCTCCTCCAAGTCCAGCTAATAGCCAAGCTTGTGCACAGTGCAGACTGTGTTGGCTCAGCTTCCAGGAGTTTCAGCTTGTCCAAGTCTGAGGAAGGAAGAGTGGAACAGCTGACCTGTCTTCAGGAGTCTGTCGTGGGCCTGGGAGCCTAGCCAATGACATACTCTGAAGAAGCCCTTCTGCAGGACAATGTACACTCTGCTGCAACATTCCCCTCTCTCTGGGCTTCTTTGCACTTACTTCGTCCTGGCCCTTGCTTATCTAGCATGTGTTCCGAATGTCCCACTTCCCTGCTCGTGTATGTGGTTCAAGCATTGGCTGTAGACATTTAGCACAGGTTCCCAGTGTCTGTCTCCCAAGGCAGGCAAAGGATGTGGAGGGGGAAGGTAGAAGAGTGTCACTTAGGGCTACCTCCCTCTGTCAGGCACTCCGAGGCCTGCTCTGTTGCTTCATCTGTCTTTCTGCAGTCTTCTCTGGACCAGGGAGATGATGATGCTTCTGGCTTCTGGTCTATTCCAGGGCGCAGAAGAGCAAGGTAAGTGGTAGTTGGTCAGCAGACGTTGCCACCTGGAGAAGGTGATGGCTGGGAGCTCTGACCATCACCCCTCTAAGCAGAGCATTTCTGAAGAGGCTTTGAGGTTGGTGGTGGGTGGGAGACTCTTCAAGTTGATATTTGCAGTAGAGACACTTACAAGTTAATAAATTTCTTTGAACTCCTTCTGGTTATTGCTCAACTCTCCTGTTCACATTCATTCCCTTCCTCCCTCAACCCCTCTTTTCCACATACTTCCCTTTTCCCCTTATCCAGGACTCACTCTACCTGCAATACCCTCTGCTGTGTTTCGCTACCTGAGTAAGCCATATTGATCCTTCAGGACTCAGCTCAGGTGCCACCTTCTCCGAGAAGGCCTCCTTGACTGCACCCACTCCCATACTAGGCAGTCAATAACCCCCCCTCTAGGCTCCCACAGTGCTCCCAAGTCTTCTTGTTCTGACTCATCACACTGTGTGGTCGGTTTTGATGAATCTGGTTTCTCCTCCAGATTGTGGGCTGTTTGAGGGCAGAGTCAAGATGGTCCACTCACTGCTCTGTCTGCAGCCTCAGTGGCGTGCTTGGCACTGAGGAGACATTCAGAGAATGTTTATTCACTGGGGCAGTGAGCAAACACACCAAAACTCCTGTGCTTCCATTTGCCAGCAGCTATGTCTTGACAGAAACACTGGCTGCGTCTGGGGAGTTGGGGAAAATCTCCTGGAGGAGCAGATATTTGAGTAGGCACCATTGGATGATCAGGAACCCAAAGGACAAGTGCTGATTAGTGAGCAAGAAGATCTAGGTGCAGACTCGGATGCCTTTGTGTATACCAGTTCTCTCTCTCTCCTCCTCTCTCTCTCTATCTCCCTATCTATTAATTGTGGTACCACACACATAAGATTTACTATCTTAACTATTTTTGAGTGTACAGTTTGGCAGTGTTAAGTATATTCATATTGTTGTGAAACAAATCTACAGAACTTTTTCTTCTTCCCAAACTGAAGCTCTGTCCCCATTAAACAACTCCTCATTTCCCCTTCCGGCCCCAGCCCCTGGCAACCACCGTCCTACTTTCTGTCTCTATGAATCTGACCATGCTAGGGACCTCATACAGTATTTATCCTTTTGTGACTGGCTCATTTCACTTAGTACAGTGTTCTCAAAGTTCATCCATGTTGTAGCATGTGTCAGAATTTCCTTCCTTTTTAAGGCTGAATAATATTACGTTTATGGATAGACCACATTTTGGTTAGCCATTTATCCATCAATGGATACTTGGTTTGTTTCCATCATTTGGCTTTTATGAATAATGCTGCTATGCACAAGAGCGTACAAATATCTGTTCAAGTTCCTGCGTTCACTTCTTTTGAGTATATACCAGAAGTGGAATTGCTGCATCATATAGTAATTCTATTTTTAATTTTTTGAGGAACCGCCATACTGTTTTTCATAGTGGCTGCACCATTTTACCTTTCCACTAACAGTGCATAAGGATTCCAATTTCTCCACATCCTTGCCAACACTTGTTGTTTTCTGTTTTGAGCTGTGGTTTTTTTTTTTTTTTTTTTGCAGTAGCCCTCCTAACGAATGTGAGATGTTATCTCATTGTAGTTTTGATATTCATTTCCCTGATGATTAAGTGATGTTGAGCATGTCTTCATATGCTTCTTGGCCATTTATCTTCTTTGGAGAAATGTCTGTTTAGTCCTTTGCTCATTTTTCAATTGGACTGTTTGCTTTTTTGTTGTTGAGCTATAGGAGTTCTTTGTATACTCTGGATATTAACACATATCAGATATACGATTTGCAATTCTCCCCCCTTCCATAGGTTGCCTTTTCACTCTGTTGATTGTGTCCTTTGATACACAGAAAGTTTTTAATTTTGATGTAGTCCAATTTGTCTATTTTTACTTTCGTTGCCTGGGTTTTGGTGTCACCATTGATTTTTACTAGAATTCACTTTTCTAGTCAGACTTCTATTAAATTTAATGTAATTTCTTGGCCTCTTCCCTAGCTTACAGTAGTAAATCCTAACCAGGGGCAAACTCACTTGGAATCTGTAACGTTACCCATACCCAGGCCCTGGTCTCGGCGAGTGGCAGCGGTAGGGTGGCAGCGTTCATAATGGGACAGCACTCTGTGTATGCTCTCCTTTTGGGTGTTTGGCTGGAAGAAAAGACTCTAAGCGGCTTCACTTCCAGAAAGGCTGAGCCACGAGAAGGTGGAGTCCTTGGAGAGTCAGCCAGCTGCTTGCCCAGACACTCATTGCTAAGGCTACACTAAGGAGCTCAGTTTTCATCATGTGCTGGAACCTAAAATAGATGTTAGTTTTGCAGCCCTATGATGGCACTGGGCCCAGAGGCAGGGGGATGACGGCATTGAAAAATGTTGCCTTGGTTTCAGTAAGAAATTTGCAGCATTTCTCCCTGGAGCCTGCTTCAACCTCAGTCCAGCTCCAACGGGTGCCCGATTTCCAACCCATGTCGACTGAGTGGACATCAAATTTTGGATCTGGTTTTTCCCAGGGAAAAGGAAATAACTCATCTGGATCACTTGGGGACCCCACCAGTTTGAGACATAGATTTAAGGGCTCAGCTCCCACCCACTCCACAGCTTCCCTTTCCCCAGACATCCTTGAGTCCAACCACCCATGACTTTTAGCAGTGCTTCAAATGTCGGTGTTCTTTTAGGCTTCTAGGACTTTTCTCATGTAGTTCCTTCTGCCTGGATCACTCTTCTCTGCCTTTTCTTCCTCCGAGACTTGATTCACAGCCCCTTCTCTTGAGCCCCATTGTAACTTTCTATGTGAGACTCTCTTGCACACTGGACCTCAAGTGTCTGTTTAGCAATTGATCTCTTCTCATCTAAATACAGTTTGTTCATTAAGGAAAGGATGAAGGAGTGACAGAAGGAATATCCACGCAGCTTGAGGCGTGTGAGGATGTGAGTGTGTGTGTGTGTGTGTGTGTGTGTGCATGCGTGTGCCTGTGTGGATGCAGTATGGACGCCTGTGTTAGCACCTGGACATTCGCTCAGGCAGACATCTATCTCTGCCCCCGCTCCCCCCACTACCACCCAGCCCTGTCCTCGGTTGCTCTGTCTGCAAGAGCGTGACTCTCTCCTGTCTGTCACTGGCCGCCGCCCCCGCTTCTCTCATAACCGGCTGTAACATAAGAACTGAAGTACATTTCCATTATGTGTTGTATTTATTCAGTACTGTCTACTGTTCTCTGCTCTTAATTTTAAAATGTTTAAATTTGAATGTTTTTCATTTTCCTCTGAAAATATCCACCTAAGGTAAATTGCCCTCCTTGTATATGGGCATCAACTTGCTTTTCTCTGCATTGATGATCTCCTATAGAAAACAAAAGCCCTTGCTCCCACCTACCACTCTCCCTCCCTTTCTATCTGACCCTTGGTGGCCCCTGCCTGGCTTGCAGACTGCCATCCCTACGTCGGCCCAGCCTGAGTCCCAGCTTCAGCAGCACCTAACTGTCCCTCAGTCTGGAGCCTAAAGCTAACTTGACCTCTTGCCCCTCCCCCAAGGGGAGGCCAAAGCAGAGGGTCCTCCTCTTCTGTGCAGTCTGGAAACAGGAGCTCAGAGGCCCCCAGTGCACAGAGACAGGGAACCCGGCCACCAGAGGGCGCATGGACCCAAGGAAAGGGTGGTGGGTTCTGCTCTGTGAACCCCCCACCAATCAGAGGGCTGAACAGGGCCCACTGAAGCAGTTAGGTGCCTGCCCTCAGGGCCTTGTTAAGTTGTAGGGTCAGGTCTCTCTCCCTGAATGTCCCACCGTGATCCCTCTGAATGCCCTCAGAGGTTGCTGGGTGTCCAATGCAACGGCCCAGATTAAATCTGTGTGTGCTAGGTGCCCAGACTCTGCTGGAGATTGGGTATGGAGGAAACGTCAGGGCTGAACTGCAAGAGCACCTGGGAACTATGGTTGTCACTATTTATTTCAATGTGTTTTCAGAGAAAAAAATACCAATAGTCCACAAAGTCCTCGGTGTCATGCATATTACTGCTTAGCATGGAGCTAAGGAAGAAAGTGAGCCGATTTAAAGTTGACTTAAAGAAAAAGGTTATGTAAATAATTGTTCCAATGGCACATAAAGGTAGCACACAGATGATGGTGAATATCCAAATGCCTATGTGACACCACCATGGCATTTCAAAATTAAGACCGTCATAATTCACCTCTTGATTGCTTTTCTACCAAACCACCTCTCTCCCATCCCCCCCATGTCAGGAGTGGTACGTCCACCCTTCTAGTTGCTTAGGCCAAAACCCTTGAAGTCATCCTGGACTCCTCTCTTTCCTTCATCCACCATATCCAATCAGCCAGGAAATACTCTTGCTTAACTTTCAAAGCCAGCCCTGGTGGTCTAGTGGTTAAGATCTGGAGCTCTCACTGCCACAGCCTGGGTCTGTTTCCAGTCGGACAACCACAGTACCTGTCTGTTGCTTGTCACACTGTGGCAGCTGCGTGTCACTGTGATGCTGAAAGCTATGCCATCAGTATTTCAAAAACCAATGGGGTCACCCATGGCAGACAGGTTTCAGCAGAGCTTCCAGACTAAGACAGACCAGGAAGAAGGACCTGGCCACCCACTTCCAAAAAAGTTGGCCATGAAAATCCTATGAATAGCAGCAGAGCAATGCCTGATATAGCGCTGGAAGATGAGAGGATGGCGCAAAAAGACAAGGCAGGGCTCTGTTCTGCTGTCCACAGCGGCACTAGGAGTCAGAATCCACTACACGGCAGTAACAACGACAAAACTTTCAAAGTTAAATCAAAATCCACACAATTCTCCCACCTCCACTGGTCCCACTCTGGTCCAGGCCACCACTATCTCTCTTCTGGATGGCTGCAGTCAACTCCAGACTGGTGTCCTTGCTTCCACTTTGCCTCCTTGCAATCTTCTCCACCCAGCCACCAGAGTTTTTAAAAAATGAAAATCCTGTCACTTCAGTCCTCTGCTTAAAACCTCCCAGTGGTTTCCCATTACTCTTTTGTTTTTGCTTTTTTTATTTGCTGACAAAGATTCTCCCTGAGCTAACATCTGTTGCCAATCTTCCTCTTTTTGCTTGAGGAAGATTCTCCCTGAGCTAACATCTGTGCCAATCTTTTCCTATTTTGTATGTGGGATGCTGCCACAGCATGGTCACCAATGAGTGATGTGGTTCCATGCCCAGGAACTGAACCTGGGCTGCTGAAGGGGAGTGTGGCAAACTTAACCAATAGGCCATGGATCAGGCCCCCATTACTCTTTTAATAAAATCCAAACTCATGACCGTGGCCTCCAGGTACCGTCTCTGATGGCCCCTGCCCATGTCTCTGACCTCGCTCATTCTTACTTTCCTCCTGCTTCTCTCCACCCCAGGCCCTCCCGTCTCC